ACCGTATCCCCATCGTAATAAACTTTCGATTTTTCCGTAACACATTTCATAAGTCGAGCTTTAAAATTAAAACTGCTATTTTTTCCCCCCCTTTATTAAATTACATTTCAAAAATTTTCAACATATCGCGTTCCCTGTTACGTTATTTTCACGCTTCTAATTTTCAACCCAGTTTCAAAATTCAAGAGAACTCAAAAGTTTCGAAGGATTTCGACGTCGTTCGACTTTCGAAACGGAATCATCGGTATTAAAACGGAACGAAACCCTGGCAAAAATATCAGGTTTTTTTTTTTTTTTTTACGGCCGGACCTTCGTCCGTAGGTAGGGAAGATCCGTGCTGTCGTAGGGCTGCCTCTCCACCGAGGGTGGAACGAGTCACAGGGAGGAGGGTTCACAATGCTGAAACGAATATTCTCTCTCCCTTCCTTTACACGAGGGGTGAAACCTCCAACGTACCGCCCCTCCCCTCAGTTGCGTGTGCATCTTGCCAACGTTCTCGCGTTAGTGCCGGGTGTATCCTCGTCCACGACGATCCATCCAAACTTTGTAGCTCTGTGAAACTTTGGGGGGAATCCAGGGAGGGAGGGTTTCGTCGCGAGATGAAAATCGTGTGCCTTGAATGGTGGTGCAAGAAGCGATCTGTAATGAGCAAAGGTAGAATATTATTATTGAGTGAACGAGATTGAAACGTAACGGTTTCGAGGCGTTTGTTATATTCGCGATTGATTGGTTTCGTGTGGAGTATATTTTTTTTATAATATATTCTTTTTTTTTTTTTTTTTGCTTTTTGTTTTGTGAGTGAAATTATTTTGCGAAAGATTAATCGAAGTGGGTGTTTCAACGAGGTAGAAATATCGTTTTCGTAATTGAGATTGAATTGAGATTTCCTGGATCGGGGAAGAATTATTATGTTATTTTTAAAAAGGGAAATTAATTTTGCGAAAATTTGAAGCATAAAACAGGAACTGCTTTTAAAATATTCGTGTAATTCGCGAGATAAATTGAAAAGATGCATCTTGAATATGTGTGTGACAAAAAGAAATTAATTTTGCGAAATATGAAGTATATGAAGTATATATAAAGGTTAACTCTTTATTCGTGTAATTTGCGAGATAAATTGAAGAGGAGTGTATCTTGAATTTTTGAGAATATTCGAGAATACGCAAATTTATATCCGTCGAAATAATTTTTTAAAATAATATATATCTATACGCTATAAAATAAAATGAAAAATAATAAAAGAATCGATATAAAAATCAAAATTACCAATATCCGAATCTTTTTTCTTTTTTCTTTTTTTCTTTCTTTTCACTATATACAATATGTTTCACAAGATTACAATTAAGATATCTTGTCAACTTTTTGAAAATCGTATTTTGAAACTTTTTTTTTTCACACGCAATAAAATTTAAAAATCGTTTATTTAGAAAGAATAGGCCTTTTTTCTTTTTTACAATAACGGTATAAATGTGTAAACTTCCTCTTGAATTTTTTCCCGATATACATCGAGAGAGAAGGGGAGAGAGAGAAAGTGGAAAAATGGAAAAGGAAGGATGGGAAAGGGTCGTGCATATAAAATCGTTACCACGCGCCCACCACTCGGTTTACCGGACCGTGTTTTTCCCGGACGTTAATTAACTTATTCACGGCCATTCGAAAACACAAACGAACGCGTGGCTGCAGTTTTATCTCGGGACAAACGACGAATGAATATAAAAAGTACTGTTTCCGTTTTGAGCAATTTTTCCCTCCCCTCCCACTTTTTTCCCTTTTCTTTTTTCACATCAACGACTATGAATTTTCATATTTTGAATCGTATAAAGCCGCGTACGATTTATTTTTTTTAATTTTTTTATTTTTCGTTATACGTGTATTTTTTGTTTTTTTTTTTTTTTTTTTTTTTTTTTTTTTTTTTTTTTTTTTTTTTTTGGACAGAATTGATATCGCGAGAGCGAATAATAGGAAAACTCGTATTCGTTTGCTAGATTTAGTTAAATTCTATTTGAAGATACAAAGTTTTATTCGATCTCTTCGAGGCTTCAAATGGATGGAAACAGTGTTAGAAAATTTGGAAGAAATAAAAATTGATTATAAATAAAATAAATGTAAATCTAATAAAAATATCGAGCGTAGGAAAGTTTTAATATTGCATGAAGACCTCTCCTTTAATTAAAGAAAAAGGTAAAGGGAGTAAGATAAACACGGAAAAATAATTTATCGTGTCGTAATTACGCAGTATTTTCATAATTAAAATATCATTCTCTTACGAATTTTAATTTCGGTACAATTCACGTCGGTATTTTTCCACGTCCAATCTTCAAATAATTTCTTGGGCGTTCAAAATATTCTGTAATTTCTTCTTTACAAATCCATGTTGTTCTTCGTTTTAATTAATTTTTAAATGTACACGTCATAATTACGTGGCATTTTCATAATTAAAAAAGCTATTCTTCCCTTACAAATTTCAATACCGGTATTTTTCCACGTCCAATCTCCGACTAATTCACTATCAAATATATTCTATATATTTATCGTGTTCCTTATTAAACTTAATCCACATCCCGAAACTTTTAATTTCACACGCTCCCTCGAATTAATCTGTAATTGACTCCAAAATTATTCCAACTCAATAATTCATCATCTTATATATACTCTATAAACTTAGAGCAACGATACAATATAAAATCAAACTAAACAGCAACATTGTGATTACCTGCAAAAAATTTTCGTAATCGAAAAAAATTACTCCGAAATTTTAATTTCGCCAATCTTCAAATAGTTGAGTCTATCGAGTATCCGAAAGTATTCCTGCAATTTCTTGTAACGGAGCCGGCGTTAGAAACAGTGGGAATTGTTCGTTGGCCAGTTGCAGGCGTCAGCTGCAGTTGCAACTGCACTTTCTCGGCACACGTACACACTCGTATACAGGTTACAGGTATAGGGTACACACGTACGGTATTTCCCGTCATGCCCGTTACGTTCCGTTCCAATGCATGCCCGCGATGCTGTGTTTGCGCCTCGCATACCGTGCGCCACGGCTTCTGGTCGCTTTTGTTTGTCACGATTTTCTTCGTTCAACACCGAGAAATTAATTCGAATGCAAAACTCCCGATCGTATCTGTCGCCGCCGTTGTAAGAATCGTTGTACGCCGATATCTCGAACGGACTCGATCCTCTATCTTGTGAAATGTGAATGGCGTGTGTCTCGAAAATGATATTGATTCGAGGCAAATGAAATGGTCAATGGGTGTATCTGGGTGAGAAGGCAAGATTCATTTGTGTGAATGAATAATAATAATAATTAGAAAGTTTGTAAAGCATATTGATAACGATTGCTGCTTTTTTTTTTTTTTTTTAAGAAGAGAATGTTATTCGTGTTTATGACGAAATCGTAACGCCCACGTAAAGTTGCAATTTATCGTCGAATGCTTCTTGCGAGCAACGTATTTGTGTTTGCGAAATCGGTATGCTCATCGTTAATTAGACACGTTTACGATGTATATATCTTCAACTTTTTCTCGACCTATTAATCCTTCTGATCTCAAACACTTTTTCCTTTCCTTTCCTTTTTCTTTTTTTCGTCGCTTCTCCTTGGCATCATGTTTGATTATCACGAGGATTTTTTTAATTAGAAAAAATTACACGAAGAAAAATAAGATCAACGCGTTGCAATTTCGTAATAAAAAAAAAAAAATCTCAAGATTTTCGTTTATTTTATTATAAATGGAAATAAGTATCGAAAAGGTATTAAAAATTTATCGTTAAATTCACCTTTAGAAAAAAATAGAAATAGATCCATCGATCATTCGTTGTCAAAAGTACGTATATATTAAGAAAGGAGAGAGAGAAGAGTTATTTTTCTATTTGGAAAAATCGGGAAACATCTATTTCTACAAAATAAAATCCTTTCCTCCAAAGATTTTCAAAATAGAGAACGTAGTTAATGCTCTAGCTTTCTCGGGGCAAGCGGCCGAAGCCAACCCGAGCCCCACAATCGATATTTCGCATTCGACTCTAAATATATGCACCGAGACTATAGCCGCCACGACGATGAGGATCGTTTGGCCGACGACGTTCGTTACCTTGTCTGATGACGAGGCGAGAGTCTCCGGCAACGTGAGCCTTCGATCGCCTCGAAGGTAGAAAGTACGAGACGAAGGCTGTTTGTCGACCGCTTGCACACGCAGTCTCGTCGTGGTAACAGAATCGACCGGTGTTACGATTGCTTCGTGGCATTGGTACATTTCGTTTTTCTTTTTCTTTCCTCTCTCTTTCTCTTTCTCTCTTTCTCTCTCTTTTTCTCAATCAGTCGATTAGGAACGAAAATATTCCCTCGTCGGGGGAATTACTCTCCTCGCACTCGCGTGACTTTCGTCGTCGCTTTCGCGCGATTCTCGATCGATGTTAATCGTGATTTTAACGAGAATATGAAACACGGTGCCACGGTTAATCGGGTGTGAAGGTAATAGTAATGATTGTTCGTATCAAAAAGTGTGAAATGGTAAAAAGAAAGGAATAGTGGCCAGACTGGGAAAGTTTATGTGTAATTTGTATCTCGTGAAGTGTTTGTTAAATGTGAATGGAAAAATTTTGTGAAAAAAATATCCGAGGTAAAAATATATATTACAATTGAAAGTGAATTTATTAATTTGCACAAACTGTCGTTGTCTAATAATACGACAATATTATAAATTATATTATAGTGCGGTCGAAGGAGGAAAATTGGCATTAAAAGAAAAGAAAAGAAAAAAAGATTCGTCGAGTTGATAGCGTGAAGTGATAATCGGGAAGAAAGTGAGTGAAGTGCGTAGAGAGAGAGAGAGAGAGAGAGAGAGAGAGAGAGAGAGAGAGGGGAAGAGAAAGAGATCGTACAAGAGATCGATGATGGTGTTATTCTGAGGGTCATTGACCTTAACCATTTCAATGCTTTCAATGGGATACATACGTCTCAATAAATATTTCTGATCCTCTATGGGCCAATACCTATCTCGTATTGCGCGTTTTACTTTTTTTTTTTACAATCCAGCCACGTACAAATTACAAAATTTCTGATCCTCCGGGGGACGATTCGTATTTCACACGTGCGTGTATTTTTGACTCTTTAATAGTTTCACCGTCATACCGTTATCATTGACAGATATAAATTTTTTTATCCACACGAATCCTCTGGTTAATATTATATCTGGATATTTCTGAAAGAAAAAGAAATAAAAAAAAAAAAAGAAAAGAAAGTGTAATAAAATTAGATAAGGAAGAAATAATCGTTAAAAATAATGATGCATATATACCCGAGAATGGCCTTGACGTGTTTCATTTTGTCGCAAGGTGTTGGATAGTGATATCATCATCGTGTTTCACCTCGTTGTCTTATCGAGTATCGGTTAAAGGATGCTTCTTCGGATCGATCGTGGATTCGATGCTCCGTTTCGCGTGGAAACAGAGGAGTAGAAGGTATTTCGTTTGTCGTGGTCGGTATGGGGAAGAGTAGTTCTCGAATTCTTCTTCTTCGTGGAAAGTTGAAATTCAATTTGCATCGAGCTGGCGAACGATTCGAACGAACCGTTTTCGCCACAAGTCGGTTAGAAAATAGTTGTGTACGTAACTGGTTTGGTTTTCTTCTCTTTTCTCCGCTAAAAGAGGGAAAAATGTGTAGAAGAAGAGGAATTGAAAAGGTGATGCATGCCAAAGTAACACCTTTGGTATTATAATTCGACGATGCACCTGTTGTCTGCAGCTGCACACTATTCTATTTCGTTAATTTCTTAACTCGAGTTCCAATTCACGTTTAAACGTTTAAATTTTACAAATTAAATCGAAATCCAATTTTCAGAATTCCGAACTTTCTAAAAATTCATCCCCCTTTTTCAACGTATTAATTTTATCAGAGAACTAACAATCTATAAAAAAATGTTCTAATGATCTAAATACAATTATGAGAGTTTTTAATCAGCCAATTCTACATCATATTATCTTACACTCACAACTTTCAATTTTCAACAAATTTCATTTTATTCTATAATTCTCTTCTTTTCATTCCACTTTCCCTCTAATTCCTCCGTCAAATATCCTCTGATCAATCTATCCAGAATTGAAACGTATCGCTCGTTATTAAATCGTTCAACAGAATCGTCGATTGGCGAATTTTTCCCGGTTCGTTAAAGCGCGATTCTCGCCGATAACAAAAATTCCGTAAGAGACGAACACAAGTTTACCCGCGTACGTTTCATGGTACAATCGTGGCAAAGCTTTCCCCTATCTCGATTCCTGTTTTTCCAACCTATCCTCATTTGCCTCGCTTCCTCGATAAATTCGAAACGATCGCGCGGGGGATCGCGCGTTACTTACGAGTGGAAGCTGCATCGGGAGAAAAACGAAAGATTTCCATCTTCATTGGTGAAAATTCCCAACCTCTCCCCCGTTCCTCGTTTATTCTCGTTTCGTTTCCAAGAGAAATTCTCTTTCAAAATACAACCCTGTGTGTTGCTTTTAATCCTCTATTTCGGTCTTGGTCTTTATTTAACGGGAAGTCTTTCTAATTTTTCACAGATTTTATCGAAAAATATTTATTATAATATATTACAAAATATATATATATAGAACAAAATCTAAGAATCCTCGACAATTTATCGCTTTCTTCCATCATTCTCGGATCATTCACGTCTCTCGCACATCTTTCACGGTGCAATCAGAACGAGATCACGACAGATTTCTATTCTTTCGAGGTTTCTCCTTGAAATTGACTCTTGCTCGGTTTCGGTGGATTTAATGATCTCGTTTAGTTGTCTCGCCGTTTATTACGCTCCATGAAATTCGAAATGACAAGTTTCTCGTCTATTCGCGGATCGTTAAAATTGGTAAAATTCATAAACATGTTATCAATTATACGGAATTGGAATTTATAGCCTTGCGCGTGGACGTAATTAGAGCACACGGTGAATTATTGATGAGCGGCGGAGCGTGACAGTGCATCACTGTGTTTCTTTTCCTCTCGAGATCTGCTGTTATGCCGTACACTTTCACTCTCGATCTCGAGGCGATCGGCGCAAATTTAAATCGCGAAGAAGAAATTTTCGCATCCCGTCCCGTTCGCGAACATGGTTCAGACGTTGGAAAGAAAATTCGTGAGATTTCGAATTTCGTATCTGCTCGTTTGTCGAGGATGGATTAAATGGAACGCGAGGAGGGCATGGATAATTATGAATCGTTATGAAAATTTTATTGAATAATTCAAGAAGCGAATAAAATTAGTAAAATTATATATCTGTTCCTTCCATTTCTCTTAATTATGGATAATTCGAGAAGAACAAAACAATAGAAGTTATCGAGAAGCTTGCAAATAATTTGAATTTATATATTATTATTATTATTATTATTATTCGTAAACTTTTATCGAGTTAAATTTCTATAGAAAATATACTTGTAAGGAAAGATTAAAGAAGAAATTATGAGAATATACGTTGAAATATCTATCTTTAACGTATTAATAATTTCAATTAAGATATTCATTAAAAAAAAAAAAAAAAGAAAAATCTCTCTCTCTGTTTCGATTCCTCGAGAGTATACAACTTACTACTTCAATTTTAATATTTAAAGAAGATGTTCATCACGTTGGCAACCAACGTATTAATAACACGAAGAATTATTCAAATTATATGCAATTTGCAATTTATATGCAAGACAGCCCCGTAGATAAAGGGGGGTAAAAGAGGTCTTAAATCACGCGGCTCTCGTGATCCAACTTACACCCTGTTTGCACATATTCTAATTCTCCATCGTTGGCAAGATGCATCGTTTAATAATCTTATGGCGAGAGGGATTTCGGGCCATTGAAATTAAGCCTTTCCTCCACTCCACTGTTGACCTTAACGAGAGCGCTTACTTTGATTTACCTTGTAACACGTTGGAAAGCTGCGTAATCAACGAGAAACTAATCCCATAAATTTGCAACCAGAGTTTCAACGCGCTCGCATTGATCTCTCGTTTGCCTACGTTTAACCAGTTACGCGTACGCCTCGTTGATAACCTTCGTCGCGGACGTTAATACGGGGAAAATTGCGAGTTTCAACTGGTTGTGGTTCGCAACCTCGAGCGAGCAAAAATATTTTCCGATATATTAATAATTCGATAGAATGAAAAACTCTTCGTTCTCTTCCCTCTTATTCCTTTAAATTAAATATAATTTCGATCAATTTGGAAAATATATAAATTGTTGTAAATTTTGCTCGATCAAAAGTATTTAAATAATTGCACGATTTAACAATCATACGGCAACAAAGTATCTTTCAATTTTAAGATTGTATACTATAAAAAGAGTCTGTATACTATAAAATGACTCTCTTTTCTTTTCATACTATCGATGATATCGTTTGCATTTAATTCCAATATTTTACAATAAATATTTATCATTAACTTATACAATCTTAATAAAGAAAGAATATCAATATTATATATTGACCAATGAGACCCGAATTCAGAACGGCAGTGAGTAACGTTTATCCAATTCAAATCACGTGTCCAATGACGCGAATAACAATTTTTCTTCGTATTCTACGGAAAAATGTTCTACTTGCCATTAGCTTGCCATTATTTTTAGCACGCCCATTTAACGAGTCCAGCAAACAAACAAACCTGGTCAATTTCCATAGCTATCAGCTATTATTGTTGTACTATTTTCGTCCGTTGATAGTCAAAGTGAGGTCGCGAGGCGTTCCCCGGTGAACCGGTTAAAACGTGGGTGGAGATCGCGGTGTTGTGGCACCACTTTCCGGTGACGCATAGGAAAGCCGTTCGAGAAGGAGAGAAGGAACGAGGGCCACGTAAGACTCCGTGCTCGTCTCCTCGCCTCGTGGCCCTCTCGCCACGTAGAGTAGGGAGAAAGAGCGGAAAGCCAGGCATATCTGTCATTCGAGGAACGACCGACGCGCCGTGTGGGTCCTTGAACGATTCAACCGGCTTCGAAACGATCGAACGAGCGTGTGTATTTCCTTGACCGAGTGGCGGAACAGTGGTACGCGAAAATGAACGTGAAATCCAAGGAAATCCAAGCCACGTGAACGATAAGTGAAAACGAGTATCGAGAACGTCTTTCTTCTGCGATGTCTATCTATGTGCCCTGTTGGATGCTCATACTCTCGGTCTTTCTCTTCTTTACAGTTAGAGAGGCTAGGTTCAAAGCTTCTTTCTTCTTGAGTATTTTTATTGAGAAAAAAAGTATCACCAATTATTTAACGTGAAATTAAAAATTTAAATGTGAACGGGTTATCATCGTTATTTGTATGTTCCAAGTTTTGTAATAGAATTTTGTTGCCAGAATATCATTGAAAATTATTAGTCGAATGTAAGTTTGTTCTTTTTTGGCTTCGTTCTTCGTCGAGTGTTTTATGTGATCAAATGGGATGATGTGGAGGATCGATAGTGTGAGAAAAATCTGGGATGGAATCTCGAGTTCTCGTTGTGCTTGCAAAGAATTAAGAACTGATTTCAACTGATTTTTAGTTATTATATAGTCGGAGAGGAAATAAGGGGACAATTAAGGGGAGAAATCTTATTAATCAACGTCTGTCCTCGACTTTAAAAGTTTGGTAATCGATTTCACTGGCGCAAACCTTGACGACTGGCGAAAATCGAAAGTGACAAATAATTTGTATTCGATTCATTCGCGATTTGATTTGATATGGAAAAATTCTATCTTCTCTTTCTCTTCTAATTTTTTTTCAGCATAAAAAAGAAACAATATATTCAGAATGGATATATATATATTCAGAAAATCAATTGAATGAAATATGGAATTTTCAAGTGAAATCTGCGACAGGTAAAAAAAACGATCGATTCATTAATTATTCATGCTTAGAAGCGATTCTTTGAACAGCCTCGATTAATTCGCGCGAACAGCAGGGAAACGGGATGAAATTCAGTCGAATTTATCGGGATGCCGGCATTTGATTTTCCAATTTGTTCGACAGGGAAGAACGTTGCTAGTTTTTCGTTTTCTGGCGCCGCAAGTATCGCCTTCGGCTGTTTTGCAATTCGGATTTTCCCGCTTTTGCATTCTGTTTGCGCAATTCCTCCTCGTTCCGACACGTTGAATAAGATTTTTTTTTTTTCCCCCTTTTTTCCTTTTTTCATTTTCCTCCCCTTTTCCTGGCCCCGTTTTCGACGAAGATGTCGCGTTTCACAGAGATTCTCGGATACACGGAACGAGGAGGAGAGAACTTGTCTTTCTTGTTCTAAACACGACGACAGTCGACAGTCTCGTTCGAGGGATCGATAATAAAAGCAACGAACGAAGCGTCTGGTTTAAAATTCTTCCACGTGTCTAAAACGCGTTCGGTTTAATGGCACGGTCTCGTTGGTAAAAATTTCATTAGGCATATGTATAGATTCGTCACAGTTAATAATTCTTTGAATGGTGGACTTTCTAATCTGTAGAATAGCATCGTTGAACGGTAATTTCATTGCGAGATCTATTTGTTTAACTGTGAGGAGAATTTTAAATTTCGATATATTGCCCATATAAATTAAATTAAATTTGATTTACATTAAACTCGCAGTTACTTTT